CTTGGTTAAAATTTGTCAATCTAGTTTTAATGAAACTTGTCAGAAGCCTCCTAATGCACAATACAATAACCACTCCCGTAACCATTCTGAGTAAACGCCAACTATGATACATATTTGGTGAGAGAGTTGACCTCTACTTAAATCAAAGTTAAAAATTTGAGCGTTCCGCATTACCTTTTTGCAAACCAAAAAGTCATTTACTTTTAACCTAATCTAATTCCGCAGTGGACACCAAATGGTTCACTCGGTATTTATCTTAGGTATAAATCATATTGATATGAGCTCATTTGTATTGTTATCTACACCTCTGCGTTACTAACTAATATGCATAGCATTTTGCTCGCACAGTAGACAATCATTTCTCGCATTAGCGCTGGCCTTGGCCTGTACACAGAGTGATTGGAGCTCAATTATTGCGATTCTCAATTCCAGAAGAACTGCTGTGCATAATAAGAGTACGTAGACAGATTTTATGGGTTTATAGGAGCGTGCAAAACCGCGCATTTGTATGTAAAACAACGGCTATAAAGTATAACTAATCCACGATATTGTATATCATTCAACATGGCAAGTATTTATAAAAGATTTCTGTGAAATACGTAAACACGCTAGTGTGAATCTTACTTTCTAAAACTTCGTTCAACTTTTGTAAGGCCTCTGTAATAAAAAAACGCATTTATTGCATCCTCAAACGGTGAAAACAGATAACCAAAGCAAAGGTGGAATGAAGTAGCAAAATTCAACGCATTTCACTGAGGCGTTTTTAGGCACTGCGGTTGTGACGAGTGCACTTGCAATATGAGGAATGGTAGGCAGGTTAGAATGTCTCTGGATGTTTATGTTTTTGCTTCAACTCAAGCCATAATGTGTCTGTTGTACCAGTTTCCATAAAGAGACTATGTATTTTTGGCGCTCGAAAAGGGGACGCAAGTCCTGGAAGATGATGCAATTTTTGCCTGATACGCAATTATTGTACACGCGTACGGAGGAATTTCGGTTCACATTAACATTTGAATGGAATTTGCAACGGAATTAACTGGTTCAAAAACATCCTCAAAATACATACAAGAATTACAGTAATGATACTACGGCTGAACTACACTGGTTAAACGGAGAATATAAGTGAGAAAGTGGAACATAAAATCTAATAGCAGGACATACAAAAATGCGAGAGTGTGTAGCCGATCTATCTGCTTCACACACTCGCTAAATTTGCTCAAAAACTCTTCGTAAGAGCGGAATATAAAGACTATTTTAGATACGTTTCCGTATGTTTTACATAGGCGAATTCATCGTGATTGGAATTTTGTAGTAGATCAATATCTTCCCCAAGCAAAAATATGGGATGCATTGATAGCTGCTTTTGTGCGATTAAAATTAGCAAGGAATAATTTCGGTTGGTCACTCTAGCAGGGATTGTGGTGATTGATTTTTCTGTACTACCTAATATCCTCAGTGTGATGCTCGCAATTCACTAAATCGACTTAAGCTCGGCACTAATGAATATTTTGCAAGCAAAATCTTCTAAATGGAGTTTTTGTGAGTCTATGAATTGTCCAAAATTGGTGACATCACTCATCCATCACATTTAGAAGCAAGTAACTCTAATTTGAACAACTTGCATCAGCAAAAACAGGTCAGCGTTACCAGGCATGATATATTGTTTCTCAGTTTAATTCATACTGACTTCCCATTTATTTACTTAAATTAATTTCTTGATGTCCATCTCATCGACTGCTCTTACTCTCTACGAGTGCGTTGTCCGCGCATAGCTGAGCAGCCGGTATTTGATTTAAATTGTTTAAACAAACTGTTCTTGTAATTTACTAGCATAATATTCTACTAGAACAAATACTGGTAACAAGTTTGGCAATACATTTTGGGTACAGCAATTAGCACGTCTTTATTAATGTCTTCACCTTGTTCAACAACTATCGAGTAAATCATTTAGGTTATGTAAACTTTCAGGTAAGAAACACTGATGGAACTGGCGAAACACATACCCACCAACTTTGGAAGTTCTTGTTTTAAATAACCTGTACGGAAAATAAATAGGAACTCAGTCCGCATTCAAGCGTAAGCTTTCAAATAAAAGTGCGCCAATGAACAAATGACACAGTTGCCGACGTTTCGAATTCAAAATGCGAACGTTGAGGCCATTGCTTTTCGAACATTCGAAATTAGGTTTCGGCACGCGTAGAATGGAAAATATACGTGAACGGATTAGTAGTATACACTTTACCTATTGCTATAAGTTTTACGCATTCGTTAGCGCCAGTGCTGCAAAAATATCCAATTACATTCCTGTTGTTGTTAACTATTTAACATTGTAATGATGCTACGCTAAATAAAATACGTATTATATTTGAAATCCATTGAGTAATATCTTTTTGTTTTTCTTTGGGTACAATACTGGCTGACCATAAAGCGCATTGCGTCTTGCTCTAAGTCCAGTTGGGAGCATACTTCTGCCCAACTGATATTGTTGATATCCGGAAAGAACTCGGAAAAAATGCCACATTATTCCGCATTAAACTGTGTACAATCGAGCATAGATTATTTAAATGAACTTAAATGCTAAAGATCCTGAAGTTTAAACCACTGGCGCAGAATTTAGATAATATGTAGCTGGGAATTCGATCATAGATTAAAGCAATAAGGTTCTTCCGCATGTGACTTTAGAATTGGAAAAAGTGAATATCTAGTAGAAAAATTTGATTTTGTGATAAATGCCTATTTTTACACGTATTTAAGTTTTGTGGTTTTGAGTACAAATGCAGAACATATCCTCCAATACAATCAAGAATGGTTTAGCAGTGTTACTTTTTTATTGCTACATTTTTTCCTCACCAATGTCGGGATTACGGCTGATTGATTCCCCGTCAATTTTACTTCCTATGCCGTGGAAACCATGTCGCTAATCTATTTCCGATAACAAATGAATTAAGATTGTCTAATTTTGTACTTGGCCTCATTTATGGTAAATTATTCCTTAGTTATATGATTGTTCCTTTCCCAGTTACTGCTGAGTACCCACGGCTATCGTTCGTTGTACTGATATTGGAAGGGGTGGAATATGATCCCGACTGATGTATGCTGCTTACCAACTGGAGCTAAACTTCTTTATTATTAACTTGAGTGTTAGCAGCAACGTTATTCGCTTATTAATAATGTAGTGGATTTCAGAGGCCTTTCAATCTTGAATTTAAAATTATTCTGATACATAGACAGAGGACAGTTAAGCTGACGCTCTTATATCAAACCAAACGCAATGTCTGTTTGCTTGAGACTTAAATAATGTATTTAAATGCGTACCTTGAATTTGTTGGAGTGTTTTCAACACATGAACTGTTGATCGTGGAGAAAGTGAAGTGGTTACCCGCCTTTTGTTATAAACATTTTGAAGCTTCATTGGGCAAATCTTACATATGGATGAACCATTTCTTGATATAAGTTTCCTTTGTTACGTTCAAAAAACAACAATCGTGTGTGTTACGAAGCCTGTATGGTATACTCTACTAGGAAATCCTCTTTTTAAACAACTACGCATGTAATGGCTAACGGACAGAAAACGTGTCTGTGTGACCTTCTTGAAAGGAAAATTTTTCTAGAGCCTAAATGAAATAGACTTCGGTTTATTTGACTCAAACCAAATTAATGTCAGGCAGGTTACCCTGATTCCATGCGTCACTAAATGTTATGGTTTCACTTATAGCTGTGCTAAAATTACATTCCTATCTGTTGCTTGTGATTAAAAGTGACCTCATCAATTTTTTATTAGAATAAATCGAGCTTCTCAGAGGAGAAAACGTACCTAATCGTACCAATACTCCAAGCGTAAATGGGTGCATCATAATGTGGTCAAATTCACTACAATCCCGACTACAATATATATGAGTGTGCAAACTATACAGGATTCTCTTGTTACAGAGAAGATACATTGGGCAAATCCATCCGACGCCTGTGAAAGTGGTACATCCAGCTCATCGGCTCTGGGAAATCGAGGTAACTACGGCACACTGTAGATATATATTGATATATATTTCAAACACATTAACAAACACATTTGAAAAATCAGCGATGCCTGCTGATTTACCCGGTTGGCTCGGGGTTATTCAGAATCGTCGTAATTTGAACAGTGCTGCCAGCTGCTCAAATAAATGTGGTTTTCAAATGACCTATTATTTGAGTTTCTTCACTGACGCGCTCAGATATATCATGCATGAAATTTTGTCACGCTTAAGTGCCGGCTTTAATTCGAATAGGGTCATGTTGGACCGGTCAGTTCAGTCATGTTATTTCGTTGTACCATTTTTCTCGTTCATGCACTGAAAAGATGAACTTTTCGAAAAAATATCACACGATGTCTTTCTAAGCACTTGAATTCCTGTACAGTATTTACTCCTATTAAGGCGGTTAATAGGTAGCTGCAATGGCAAAGTATATCTCTGTTAAATCTTACCTGCCCCTATTCCTTTAGCTTGCATTTTGTCACCTGCGCAAATTTTGCAGGACCCATGCGCCAAATGAGCAAATAAATAATAAAAAGTTAGATAAAAATAACATCTTGATGGCTACTGAATACTCCAACACCTGGAATGCACTTGTTTACCGTTATAAAATGAGGGAAGCGCACGACGCTCCTTTCCTTCATTCATATATGTGTACTTTCTACGGATATTATAGTCAACTTGCTGAAAATTCACGCCTACACATGGTCAGTTATTGCCTTTAAAACTTCTTTTTCAGAAATAAGCGCTGGCAGTTATTTGGCGACATGTGCAAGGTACTCATTTCCAGCAAGCAAATAAGTGCAAATCAAATTTGGTCACGGGGTTGGGCAGTGTTTTCTGCGCTACTTACTGTGATGTAAGATATGACATTTCTGTGATTCGAAAAATTAAAACACCTCACAAATTTGAGGTGCGTGACATTATCGTGCACAGCTGACATGCACGGATTTGTCTTCTCAAGCATCTGAGAAACAGATACGGCGGTCTGATCTTGCCAAGTCTCGCCCGATTATTTTATTTCGTCGTATTTGGGAACACACTGCACAAATTGCACAGATTTGCAGGTCCATGTGGTCTGCTTCCTTAAATCCTTAGAACCTAAATGCTGAGTGATTTTTCACTGTTCCACAAGGTGTATTTACTGCAAATTATTCGACAAAAATTTTAGAGAATCAGTCTGTCAGAAAAGCTGCAAAGCAATATCGAAAGGATTGTACATGAAACTTATTTTATCTCTGCTGTTTCCTCGGTAATTTAGTTATGAGGCATCAAACAAACACCTGCGTATCCATATTTTAAGTCAGCTACAAACTAACGATTAACATAGTGATCATTTTGGTACTTTCAAGGCGGAACACTGGCGTCCATGGAATTGTATGTGTTTTAAATGTTTTCAAATACCCACAATTTGGGTTAACTTTTGGGTTACGAAAACGGACTATTTTAGGCCTTTTCAAAGTATGACCTTTTGATGAAATGCCTATCTTAGAAATCTCTGTTTTTAACACTGATTTCTTTATCGGCAGTGAAATTAACTCGAAAGCGTTTGGCAGAATGCATATTAAAGACAGTGCACCAAAATTATATACACATACCATCATACGATGAAATCCAACTGGATATTGATCCTGTATCGTCAAAATTGTACGTAAAGCGGGGATGCTACAAGGCTGTCGAAATTACTTGGGGTGGCTCAAAATTGGTAAAATAACTAATAAGTTTAAATTGGTCGACTGACGAAACCAGAAATAATGAAAGCTACAAGTTGTAACTCACCAAGAAGGTCTGATAAATAGCTTTTTATTTGTTCTGTTTGAAGTAAGACAAGGAATGTTTCGTACACGTCTAAATGCAGTCAACTTAAAGAAATCAGTGCAATCAATCGAACTGTATGGTACAAAAGTTAAGGGTAAAAGTACCATGCATGCTAATTATGAGTTATGGCACCACGCCCACCTCCGTTCCAGCTTCTGATTAACATACTTTGTTGCTCCTTTCGTAGTCGTAGAAATTTCGCGTACTGGCGTTTGCAATGTTCGGTAAATTAAGCCTGTTCTACTTTGCCCTCCTAGCCTCTGCCCATAAGCGATAATAAAGTCACTGCGTTGACGTATTCAGTGAGCTTATACTTGCCAAAAAGTATTGGATTAGATGCAAGAGAATACATTTGAAAAGTGAAATTTGCTTGCCGAATGTGGCCAAATTGATGTCCTTTATGATTTGAGTGAGGATGGGCTGTTTTTCTATGCTTAAGATGCACTTTGCCAGTGCCAACAAATCGCCGGTTAGTGGGTCGATCTCAGATTTTGATCATCTCTTGGGTTCAATGCAGAATGTTTGGATTGTTCAAATAAATAATTCAAATATTACTTTGCCCATAAAAGCCGTCAGCTTATTTTCCACCCCCTCAAATGAAACTGCCACCTTTACTCGAGAATAGGCAACAAATGTCATTTGGCTAATCAGAACGTTTGGCGCCTAATCAAATCATTGATATTTACGAGCTTGGGTGGCACGATTCATCTGTTAATTGAATATTGACTTGGCATCAGTATGCCAACCGTTTAGGAAACCGAACCTAAGCGTCTTAAAAACCGCCTGCTTTGAAAGAACTCTGATTTTTTGGATAGATGCAACTTCCTCACTGATGCTCGGAAGCCTTCCAGCAGCCTGTGTGTTAGAATTTTCACGATTTTCAACTGTTGCTATTAACCACCAAGTGGGTTGAATGTGTCTCATGGTTACGTTTAAATTTCACAGCAGATGGGTCGCTATGGGTGGCGGGTTCTGCCTTTTGCATTCCTCTTAGATAGATGCAGTCGACACTTTCCTAAGATATGATATAAAGAAACCAGGAGAAGCGGTCATATTCCGGAGAAATGAGGAACTTGTTAAACTGATTTTCAACAAAATGATGTAGTCTATGCAAAGTATGTCCCATTTTTTTTATAGAATACTGACTGAACATTGACGTAATCCGATCAAGCTTTATCTTCAAAGGCCAAGCGCGATAGTTACTCTTGTTTGTTCTTTTCCTCGTAGAGAAGCTAAAAGCACTTCTACTAAGATTTAAACTAATCGTACATTTGTTGCAAAGTGAAACACTAAGGTCAATAACTGTAAACAAATATAAATGAGCATAAAACGTAGCATCTTCCAAAGGTGAAATGTAGAGCTGTGCAGGCAGATTGATTTTTTGAATATCATAACATGTATTTTTCAGTTGCTTGTTTTAAATGGAATAAAAATGCGAAAATGTGCTGGCTCCTACAGCTGGCGCACATTTTCAAATTGGGAGTAATGGCTGTTCCGCCTCAGTTGACTATGATAGCACTGCACCCTTGGATTTGTGCGAAAATTTTGCTTGTAATTTCCAGTCTATTTATGAGCCAAGGATTTGTGTTCCATTATATGTTTGCGGCCATTTACTGTGCCACTGAACACACTCTCTCCGCCTCAGGTTGTTCTGTAACAGTTCTGGTTGAACTGTTGTTGGAAGACACCGTTTATTTCTATCACATGTTGAGGATTCATCGAAAATCCAGGCATTATGTGATGTTCATCATGAACGTATATGATCATTATTCCTACAACTCTTGAGTGATACATACCTTCTTAAAATAACGTTTTATGTCAAAAATTGCTGTGGCTAGTTGACAATTTTTTCCAAGTTACATGACACGAAAAACTAACTTTGAGGTACAAGCTCACTCCAAATACAGTGCATTATTTAACAACATGAATATGTCACACATGTTATCATAACTTAAATATCAGCGTTCAGTTTATTAATTGCAAAATTGTTGCATCAGAACTTGTTTTGGCTGGCTGAATATTCCAAAATGTAGGTCTACAATAAGGCATACCTTCCAGATGCTTCAGAGTTTGCAGTAACATATCTGGCAGAAATAAGAAAAGCACTTGTTTACACATAAGCTTACGTAGTTTTTTGTTCATAAATTAGGGAACCAACTCGTAATTATTGTACTTATTTTCGATGTTCACGAAAACATTTGTCCCATGTAGGGAAGGCAAACATATATTTCGTAAGCAATGGCTCTGCAGTTCATTGTATCTGCCTGGAGCACTTATTTGAACGTAAAAAGGATTTACTCCTGTGGTTTCATGGACGAAACTACTCATAATGTTGCTGGAAACTCCATGACAGCCCACGACCGGTTTTGCCTTTTTTGGGGCTCATCAGTTAGGCGCAGTTCCCTGTCTGGGTGCAATTCACCAAGAAACATGGGGGATTTTACACCATCTATGAGCATTTAACTGAGCCAAATTAATGGGCAATCAATAATGGCTACGGGAATTTCCCCAAAGTAATAATAATTTTCCTCAGGGTTTCAAACGTTTGTTTGCTGCAGCTGACTACACCGCTGTGGGGTCCATACCGCCGCAACCGACAAAACTAGGTTTGTTTTTCGTTTTTCGTGGTTTACCGGAAATTATACGGGTTTGCCATTGAGCTCGCTTTACCAAAGAGGAATGCTCACAGCTGTGGAGTGTGTAAGATCCACATTCCAAGGGTATGATCCGTCAAATCGTGCTTGGGGTCCCACGTCTAAGCACAAAATGCTCTTCCCTGGAATTATTACAATTATTCTTTTTTGGAAAAATTTATATGCTTACTTTACAGCTTAGGAAGTACATCCAAGTCCTTACAGGCTTCTATATTTCGACACTCATGGTAGTTCTAAGGGTGCAACCTGGCCATTTACTTGTCCAGTGGACGCCGTATCATATTTTTCATTAGCAGTCGAAAAAACTCAATAACACCAGCTTTTGGACTTTCTAATTATACAGAAGTAAGGAGCTAGATTTTATTATTAAAAAGATGGTACCTGACAAACTTTGTTTGGTTTGATCGTCAGCGTCTGCAGTTAAGACAAGAATTTGGAATACTCATGGGCAGCAAGAGAAAAAATAGTGCGGACGAATAGCTCTACGACAGAAAAAAAGTAATCCTATAGATCCGTCTTCAACACAATAACAGATTATTTTCAGGTGAATTGTGCAGTAAAGCAATATAAATTTAAAGAATTGGTGCTTGAAATGTTCGGTTCAAAATGCCCATATATACTATACAGACAGTCAGAAATTAGGCACTGCCACATTATGTATAAATTGCTAAATTTCCTCTGCCGAAATAATGATTCATGTGCTCAGCAAACTCAAAGAACTATGGAAACACATAACTCATCAAGATTCCGGAGGTGTTCGAACCCTATCCTCCACAACATTCTCATGTATCACAAGCGCATATGACATATGAAACAGAATATTTTTTTCATGACATAAATATGGTATCTCTCTTGCGTAAACATTTGATATACTACTCACAGGATGTGTCTTAATCTAGAATGTCTTTGTATGCCGCGGTTTTTCAGTGCGTGTTTCCGGGAGACTTATTGATTCATTCCCAAGCATCTTGGTTTTGTGCAGTAAAGATGAATGCGTTAGAGTGACTGAAACTAATGTTACGCGGACACAGATTCAACACCGCCAGTATGGGAGGAAAACTTATGTACGGACACAATAAGCATGGTCGTGGAAAAAAGGTGAGATGCGTTCAAACAAACAAGTAGCTCGAGATGACCTGAAGGGTAGACTTATTACCAATTTGAAAATATAAATCTCGGTTATACAGCGAACACCAAACTTTTTTTTAACGACCGCTCAATTTGCGTGATCGGAATCCACATAATTATGGAACAGGAATGCAGATGAAAAACGTACATACTTTTCAATTTCCGTGCAGTTTCGTTTAATGACGCTGTGAGAAATAGATAAAAGCCAATTTATTACTCCTATAAAAACGAAATCTGGAGAACAATAAATAATATTATACGTTATTTCCATGATACATATGAGTGGCGCGGAGAGATTAATTCCTGTAGGTAAATAATGCACTACACGGAAACGCAACGTATTACGCTGCTTATCTGCTTGCATACGTAAAGAATTATTGCTTACATTTCGATCGGTTATTTTTCCTGCTGCGCAAATCCGTGTCATGACACAACATTAGCACACCGTCTGATTCGATTGCATTTTGTTAGGGATTAGATGTTTTTGGGCATTTTTTGGCATTTTCGAAAGAACGCAGATTGTTTCCTTCCTTAAGTCGGAATACTAAAATGCTATGCCTACATGCAAACAAATGTTGAATGGCCGTATAAACAGCGAAAGTCAACCAAACCATATGTAGATGAGAGTTATTTAACATTGCCCTATTTTACCAGTCGGCCTCAGCTGGAATCCGATGTGGCAACTAGACTATTTTAGTTTCTGATTAGAGATGTGATGCTTCGGCGTTACGTATTTTCAGCAGCCCAGAAGGAAAGAGGGGCATGTAACACTGCTTTGCCACAAGTAAGCGTGCACACTTCCCAAAAGTTGTATTTTGGTCTGTTTCGGAGACGAGTTACGTCATATGTAATGTTTCAGTTGAATCAACATCTAAATTGAAGAAACACTTACCTCCCAGTTGTTTCAAAAACTCCCCAACCTTTTCTGAATTTAACAGGTAAACATTTGTTTTACTATATGCGCCATAAACGTAGAATACACAACGGGATGCTTAATTTCGTTAACCTAGAAACGTCAAAATTTTTAAATTATTTTATTGGTTGGGATGTTTGGACATACATTAACCATACAGAAAGTAGAGGTTTAATAACGCTGTGGCTTTTGCCGTACTATCATAAGGATCCCTATCATATAACGATATTCAAATACTTTTCTGCAACAGAAAGTTTGCGAGAGCCTCGGTACATATTTTCGCAAAATACTAAATCTTAAATGACAGTTCTCAGCCAGAGAAATTTCGCGATGTTAGAATTTGGGAAGTGGCAACTGTCGCTAGTTCGCGTTTCAATTTTGAAGCAACTTGAGCGATTTTAAATAAACTGGAGGGTCTACCCGCTCCACTGATCAAGATGTTACTTCCGTCCTTATATCTGATAATACCATGAGCAATTCATGAGGGTGGCAGCTATTCCGTGGAAGTGAGGGCTATATAACACTCATTATATATAACACATTATATATAACACTCCATTATAGAGGTGATAGCAAATGTATAAAACTGCGATCTACTAGCCAGAAAGGTAGAAGATTGAAAGCCTCCTTAAAAAAGGCCAATCATTCTTGCGGCAGAACGTTCATCCTTAAAAGTGATGTTGTTTGCACACATTTGTACAGAACATTTGGAGCGGCCACTGTCCATTTTCCACCTGCACATCAAAACCTATACAAAACCGTTTTCGTTTCATTTGTAGTTCTTGAGATCATTGGTAAAACGTTTCTCCCCATTACTCGGTAGAAGGAACGATAGAAATATTGCTTCCTTACCTATCTGGTGTTTATGAGACTCACGGAATACTGGGTCACATATCACTCAGAGTAGCGCAAGAGTTTCGAAAGCATTAAATATTGCTACATTTTGCCGTTTAAGTAAAATGCAGGCCAGGTCCTTTTTCAGCGTATGAAAGGATAAATTCTTAATAACGGGAGTATTATATTGCTTTTAACCTCTCAGTTTTACGATACTAGCGGATAACTCCGTCTATAATTATCTAAAGCCATGGAACGGTTTAATGCTATTATGCGGTGTATTAATCTCCAGAATGATAAAATGTTTCTCGCCTATTCAAATGGCAAGATCAATATATAATGCTTTCGAACACTAAAATTTTGCACGGTTCAAAATTACATAAGACTGATTTCCTCACTCGTTTCTGAAGAACCGAAGAATTAAGGAAGTTCTATTTTTCTGGAACGCGGTTGTCAGCATGACCTTCAGCCAGGTCATCGAGGAATGCAGTAACATTTGAACGTACAATTGAGTTCACGTAGGTGAAAATTGTCGAGATCATGGAAAAAATACTACAGGTGTTACTTCAAAACATCGCAAAAACAAAACAGTTGAAAAGCAACGCTTTTCCCAGACCTCGTCACAGCACTCGTTTTTCAATATTATAACTGACAGGCCAATTTCTCAAGCCTTTAGGCTTGAATGATATGGGACCCAATTTTCCGTGAGTCTCATAAACAATAGATAGGTAAGAAAGCAATATTTCTACCCTTTCTTCTACCGAGTAATGGGGAGAAACGTTTTATCGATGATCTCAAGAACTACAAATGAAACGAAAACGGTTTTGTATAGGTTTTGATGTGCAGGTGGAAAATGGACAGTGGCCGCTCCAAATGTTCTGTACAAATGTGTGCAAACAACATCACTTTTAAGGATGAACGTTCTGCCGCAAGAATGATTGGCCTTTTTTAAGGAGGCTTTCAATCTTCTACCTTTCTGGCTAGTAGATCAATAGCGGCACGCGAATTGTTTACACGTTTCTAATGTCTTCACTACCGTGTGCGGACATAATACGCTTTGCCGAATAATCGCATTATCCCAGCGTTTTGACTGATATTCTGGCGGTCGCGTACCAACTGATGGACAAATTAGGCAACAGTCTTGGCGACGATGTAAGCTCTTACTTGGTCAAGTACACATTTTTACATCAGCCCAGAGTGTTCTGATGTTTAGGCAAGGAAATTATACAGGTTGTATGGGGTATTGTGTTGTTGTTCAGTGGGTGAAATAAGAATCACAAGGGTTCAAACGCCAGAACAGTCAGAAATGACTTCAATGTATGTATTGTGAATATTTATTCTCGTTGTCCTAGGGAACTAGTAAAAGTGCTTAAGTAACAGTTGTCACAATATCTGCATCAATAGCACCTCCGTTAATACATCTAAATAGATGCATACTTAACTGGAAAAAGCATACCTTGTAGGTCTCGTAGATAAACTTCCAATTTATCTAAAATTTAATTAAAAAAAGCATAACATAGGACATTGCTCTTGTTTAGAGGATAAAGTGTGTAGTACGCTCATTCGTAATTTCCACGTACCAAAATAACACTGACCTACATTTTCTTCAACGTCTCATCAAATGGTTTACTGTTTCAACAAGGCCAATCGGTTAAATTCCAGTTCTCGGGCTAATTAGAGACTGCACAGCGTAAATATTTAGCTTGATTCTTTAAGCGACCGCTAATTTGCGTTGGTCTAGTTACTTCACTTTAAATCTCGGGCACATTTGTGCATGCTTTAAACAAACGGATTACTCTGATAGTGATAACGAAAAGACATAGGGATAGGATTTTCTGCCTTGAATAACTCTGTTAAACAAATAGCCCAAGCCAGCATCAATCATTGGGCGTCTCAATTGTCAAACAAAGCACGTTAACCAAGTATCTCCTGAGACCATAAGTCACTTCCCCATATCGGGGTGCTTGGAAAGTATCAGTGTTTACATATGCCACCCAAGCTGCAAAAAAAGATTTATGAGTTGATATGCTGTCGTAAGATCAGGAGAAATAATTGCGCATCAGGGTAATATCGCCTTTGTAAATTTGGAAGAATCAATCCGTAGATTGCAACTGCTGCTCGTTTTTCTACCAGCTTCAACTGGCGCTTGCCTAATCAACAGACGTTGTGGTTCGCAAAGCCTAAAGGGTTTTATGCATTTGTCGATATCCTGTTCATCATTCCTAAAATGGCCTCGCCTATCCTCGTTTTTGGCAGAGGTATTTCTAATATTATATGCAACTGAAAAACAGCCAACTCATCGGTAGGCTCCACCACGCCACCTAATAACGCACTGACGATGTCACCTCGGTTGGGCGTGCGACGTTTGCAAGAGATTGCCCAAAACAGCCAACTCATCGGTAGGCTCCACCACGCCACCTAATAACGCACTGACGATGTCACCTCGGTTGGGCGTGCGACGTTTGCAAGCAGATTGCCCAGCCTAGCTAACAAAACAACAACTATGCAACTGTACTGTTTTGAAATGATAGGATCACGCCTCTACTTCTTCACAAGTTGTTTGCTCGATTGTGCCTCCCAAAATTCGTAAAAATTACCAGTGAATATAAGACTTCACAATAAGTACTTGTAGGTTCGAAGTAATGCTCCTCTCACCGGTTTTAACGAGGCAAACTAGACGGTAAGACATAAACGGAACATTTTATGTCGCAGTTCGTTTTTGCCTCACTGCATTTTTCTGCCCACATCCTTTCAGGATAATCCGATTGAGATTAATCGCTCCGGATATGTGACAGCCACATTTGTCGCTGTCAAAATATTTTGGGGAAATGCTCCATTTCCCGTATTGTGCTACCAATATTCTATACGTTTTCTGCCGGCTGGCAGGCTGAAAAATATTTTGTAAAGTTTCATTAGATGTTATCAATTCAAAGCAGGATAGGATGTCCCAAAGGCACATCTGCTTATAACATAAGAATGCAGGAGCACAAAAAAATTTGTAAAATTTGATTTGTGGATGCTTATTTTGCACATTTTTGTTTGACAGCACAAGCACATAATATAATCCTTATATTCTGGGTACTCGCAATATTTCTAACTTCCCTAATTATACTACTCGATATGTAACTGCAAGTGGTTTCCTAAGTAGACGCTGCACGTGCGCCAATTTCTTGACTACGTCTCCAGATGCCATGGTTTTGAACTGAATCTCTGTTCAAGGGAAAAAGAGCAAATATTCACCCATTTGTTTACCTCGGACGATTGTTCTGTGACGTGTCGTTTGCCTACCCCTTATTCGTTCACGGAATTTCACGAACAGAAATGATTCTTATTGATATGACAGCACATAAAAAATTCTTATAATGCACACGATTCTCCAAAACTAACATACTTTCCAAATCTGAGAGTTCCCGTGAAATATCATCTGGTATGTCACCTGTAGGGGGTGAAAATTTGTGGGGTCATTACTTGTGCAAGAAACATAGTCTTACAAAACTGAAAAGCCGAATTTTCGTACCGATTAATTAAGGGTTACGTATAGTGTAGCTTAATTAATGATGGGATTACATTATTAGGCATGTGGAGAAAAAATGTGGATGTGGCGAAATTTTGCAAATTGTGGCCCATTTGTAGTGATCACGTCGGGTTGATCACTACAATACCGGGAATTAGACGATGGCTGGGGAAGACTCATCTCAGTCGAAACAATGTAAAGAAAATACTGTCCAGATGTTGAGTGATTTGTCGTTTTGTTTAGCACAAGATCACCGGGTTAGCATTTTCCTAGAGCAGTTTTACGGTGTTTATACTCCACTATTTCCGGTTGGATTAATATTTCCTGATGGTCTTGAAAACTCCTCACTATGTAGTTGAGCTTACACCTATCTATAATTTTTTTAGAATTATATCTTTAAAAATATATAATATGTAATCAGATGGCCCATTTTCCATGGGATTTCTGGCGCCATCAAGTACAATTTGTAGGAAAAACAACAGCACATGCAGTTCTAATGAATGAATGTAGTACTTCACAATTCGCAGATTTTTCGCTCGATAACAATGACCTTTAATGTGATTCCTAATGCAGTTTCAAATTGTGGCGTTCACTACCTTTCATGGAGTTCAGCAATGGTGGCGATATCAGTGAAACCTTTCAACTAGCTACTTCGACTGACCAATACATAATATGTTTCAGAGAAGCAGCAAATTTTTGGAAACCTAGTGGTAATTGGAGGGAGTGAAGTGGAGCTAGTTGACTGATGGATCTAAATGCAAGCAACAGACCATAAATCTTTGTTGTATATATACATATACGTATAAACACGTGTTGAGAAGGGGGCTAGTAACAGTTTGAGCCAGCCAACGCGCTTGAGCTAGAGCGAAAAGACAAGGTTGGTAGGTCGATTTAAAATAAGTTCTGAGCTCATTTCTTTCCTTCAACAAACCACTAGCTAACCGGGACATCCACTTAGGTCGAATAAAGTTGGATACATGAATTCACATAAAATATTAGGATTCATTATCATCAAACGCAATTAGCAAATGATACGTACTCATTCCAAAACATTCTGCGTTAAGCAGTTGAAGGATAATGAAGGTTACAAACTGTAGTTTCGTCTCCATAATTGTTTAACTAACCAATGCGTTTACCCAGCATATTTATAGTTTCCAGCATCCCCCTTCGGGTAGACAAGTCAAATGATTTACATAGAACACCCCCTCACAGAAAACCTCTGCAAAGTGTGATCATCCAAGAATTCTCACAGACGTCAGCAGACACACAACAAAAAGATCCAAAAGTGAAGGCACGAATGGCGTCAGTTTTGAAGAACAGCATATTTTCATCATTTGCTGCACATGCCACATGTCGCCTCTTTCCGTATATCACTGACTACGTCAAAAGTGTGATGTTTGCCGCTAGAAATCCTTAGCGGTCCGTTAACATTTTGCGGATGGTCCTGAAGCTCAAGAAGATTAAGAGAAAACCTATGTGCGCACATGTGGCAATCTGAAGAGAATGGTAACGGTGGTGACTGATTAACCGTAACATTTATATATTCTCGATTTGAGATATATTATTCTAGGTTTCCTCTCTGGTTATTTTTGCAAGCCTTCACAGACCCACGATGTCGCAGGATTGCACGGTGTCATTTGCCATCGAGCAAATACAATGTCAGCTTTGTAACATAAGTCTACACAACTTCTCACAAGCACAAACGACCACAAACGACGCGCTTCATTTTTTTGAATACAGAAAGAAATTCTCAAATGATGTCCAATATTTCCGATGACTAACCAGCAAACCTTGTGTGGCCATTGTCGGTGTTTGCATTTATGCCAACACCCACCTCGACAAATTTTATCATCACTCAAATAAAACATTAATTCACGATAAATGTGCCATGAATTCTGGAAGTTTATAGTCGTTTTCGGGCAGATAATCAATTTTCCACTACGCCACTGATCTTGTACGAGTTTTACCACACGCGCACTAGTGTTTCAATCACAGCCTTCATGTACAGGAGTCTTTATGGCGNTGCTGAGCTGATTTCTCAAGTCCTCCCACAGAGTGACCATGACCTTCAAGGAATGAATTCGCTCAGTTTTGCAGTGGGTGGCTCTGAAGCTGCAGAATGACTGCTGGCATCACAGGATTAGCAAAACAACCATAGCCATGTCTAATGCTTTCAATATAAAAGCTTCAAACTTTTTAAGGAATAACCAAAATTATGTCTGACAGGTAACGTTAGGCTATTTGTGTTTAATCATTTACGGTTGTCCTCCATGTTACAGTTAACGTGGATTCAATTTGAGTCGTACGACAAGGAAGAAACTCTGCACCTGACCAATTGCCGGATATACACTTGATTTTTGACCAAGCACAGCCCAGGTGGATTCAAATAATTAAAGTTTGTATATTTTCCTAGCTTGGAAAGGCTGAATTATCGGCAACTGATAGATGGTCCCAACTAGAATTTCGCACGCTGCCAGCAACGTAAGGGTGCATTTTTACAAGTTGACTCATTACTACGGCTTGATGTTCAACAGCCTCGCCTGGCCCCATTGTCTTGAAATACTCTTCGCGTTACTCCTAGATAAACTGCACCGAGAAATTTCTGAGGTTGCTCAAACTGCGACAAGTACACCTATTTGCAACTAAGTATGGATTACTAGGAGCAGCATATGTCACGGAACTAATGTTGCAAGCCTGATAAAAGTAGCGGATCTTTCATTTTTAGATGATCGTTTGTCGCGGGAATCGAAACTCTTTAGCAATACGGTAACATAACCTGCTGAAATTGTGCCTAATAGGACTGAAAGAATAGCCATGTACTCGCATATTGTAGCTGAAAAGGGCAAATTACGTCATTGCCTAAATAATTGAAATGTTTATTTTTCTGAGTTTGAATAGCGTGAGGCAACAAGTCACAAGTAATGCCCATTATTCTGATTGGTCTCTATGGGCATTTTGGTAAGACTTCATTCACCCTA